AGTGGAACAAAATCCCTCCTGAGATGTGTGCAAATCTGGTGGCCAACTACAAGAAACGTCTGACCTCTTTGATTGCCAACAGGGGTTTTGCCACCAAGTACTAAGTCATGTTTTGCAGAGGGGTCAAATACTTATTTCCCTCATTAAAATGCAAATCAATTCATAAAATTTTTGACATGCGTTTTTCTTTTTTGTTGTTGTTGTTATTCTGTCTCTCACTGTTCAAATAAACCTACCATTAAAATTTTAGACTGATCATGTCTTTGTCAGTGGGCAAACGTACAAAATCAGCAGGGGATCAAATACTTTTTTCCCTCACTGTATGCAGACGCCTTTAGACCTGCAATGACGCCTCTCAGCACAGATTTCAAAGTTCTGTATATAAATGTTCAGAATGGAATGTTGAGAATGAAATAATCTGTACTTCAGCAAGTAGGTGATAATGATAACATACAGCGCAATTATCCCTGCCATTGATAATAATTATGGTATTAAACTAAATGCATTAATAAGACCTCTTACAGTAGAAAGTGGTGAATATCCTCACCACCAGCAGTAATTATGTAGTTGAGGTGCTTATTTTGCATTAGTATTTATTAAGGAGTGAGTGTCTATATGTATGTGTGTATGTACCTATGTGTGTGTCTCTTCACAGTCCCCGCTGTTCCACAAGGTGTATTTTTACCTGTTTCTTTTATCTGATTCTACTGCTTGCATCAGTTACCTGATGTGGAATAGAGTTCCATGTAGTCATGGCTCTATGTAGTAGTGTGCGCCTCCCATAGTCCGTTCTGGACTTGGGAACTGTGTAGAGACCTCTGGTGGCATGTCTTGTGGGGTATGCATGGGTGTCCGAGCTGTGTGCCAGTATTCCAAACAGACAGCTCGGTACATTCAGCTTGTCGATACCTCTCACAAAAACAAGCAATGATGAAGTCAATCTCTCTTCCACTATGAGCCAGGAGAGACTGACATGCATGTCATCAATGTTAACTCTCTGTGTACTTTTAAGGGCCAGCCGTGCTGCCCTGTTCTGAGCCAACTGCAATTTTCCCAAGTCCCTCTTTGTGGCACCTGACCACACTACTGAACAGTAGTCTAGGTGCGACAAAACTAGGGCCTGTAGGACCTGCCTTGTTGAGAGTGTTGTTAAGAAGGCAGAGCAGCGCTTAATTATGGACATACTTCTCCCCATCTTAGCTACTGTTGTATCAATATGCTTTGACCATGACAGTCTACAAACCAGGGTTACTCCAAGCAGTTTAGTCACCTCAACTTGCTCAATTTCCACATTATTCATTACGAGATGTAGTTGACGTTTAGGGTTTAGTGAATTATTTGACCCAAATACAATACTTTTAGTTTTAGAAATATTCAGGACTAATTTATTCCTTACCACCGTTTCCGAAACTAACTGCAACTCTTTGTTAAGTGTTGCAGTTATTTCAGTTGCTGTAGTAGCTGACGTGTATAGTGTTGAGTCATCTGCATACATAGACACGCTGGCTTTACTCAAAGCCAGTGGCATGTCGTTAGTAAAGATGGAAAAAAGCAATGGGCCTAGACAGCTGCCCTGGGGAATTCCTGATTCTACCTGGATTATGTTTGAGAGGCTTCCATTAAAGAACACCCTCTGTGTTCTGTTAGACAAGTAACTCTTTATCCATATTATAGCAGGGGGTGTAAAGCTATAACACATATGTTTTTCCAGCAGCAGACTATGTTCGATAATGTCAAAAGCCGCACTGAAGTCTAACAAAACAGCCCCCACAATCGTTTTATCATCAATTTCTCTCAGCCAATCTTCAGTCATTTGTGTAAGTGCTGTGCTTGTTGAATGTCCTTTTCTATTAGCATGCTGAAAGTTTGTTGTCAATTTGTTTACAGTAAAATAGAATTGTATCTGGTCAAACACAATTTTTTCCAATAGTTTACTAAGGGTTGGTAACAGACTAATTGGTTGGCTGTTTGAGCCAGTAAAGGGGGCTTTACTATTCTTAGGTAGCGGAATGACTTTTACTTCCCTCCAAGCCTGGGGGCACACACATTCTAGTAGGCTTAAATATGGCAAATAGGAGTGGCAATATCGTCCGCTATTATCCTCAGCAATTTTCCATCCAAGTTGTCAGACCCCGGTGGCTTGTCATTGTTAATAGACAACAATAATTTGTTCACCTCTTCCACACTCACTTTACGGAATTCAAAATTACAATGCTTGTCTTTCATAATTTGGTCAGATATATTTGGATGTGTAGTGTCAGCAATTGTTGCTGGCATGTCATGCCTAAGTTCACTAATCTTGCCAATGAAACAATTATTAAAGTAGTTGGCAATATCAGTTGGTTTTGTGATGAATGAGCCATCTGATTCAATGAATGATGGAGCTGAGTTTGCCTTTTTTCCCAAAATTTCATTTAAGGTGCTCCAAAGCTTTTTACTATCATTCTTTATGTCATTTATCCTTGTTTCATAGTGTTGTTTCTTCTTCTTTTTATTCAGTTTAGTCACATGATTTCTCAATTTGCAATACGTTTGCCAATCGGTTGTGCAGCCAGATTTATTTGCCATTCCTTTTGCCTCATCCCTCTCAACCATACAATTTTTCAATTCCTCATCCATCCCCAGGGATTGGGCCCTGGCTGGTAATAGTAAATAAACGGACAATGTGCTGAAAGTAAGAGGGAGAGAGAACATGAATTAGTAATGGTTTGAAAGCCCAGGGAGATGACATACAGACAGACAGACCAGCAGTTAGGGTGATAAATGTTGTCTGTGCTTCCTATCCAGCACAAAGACAGACAGACTCAGATAGATGGACTGAGGATGGAAGAGAGGAGGAGGAGGGGAAGGATGAAGGGGAAAAAGGAGGACAGAAGGATCAATTTGCAGCCATTACATGGATGTTTGGCTCAGCTGCCTCCGAGGATACTGTTTATTGGGATGTTAAAAAGAAAGACATTACTCTTCTGTGGCCCCGCCTTGTCCCCACGTTCCATGTAATATGTTTGAAAAGGACTCTCCAGACACTCATAGTGGTATTTAACGATTGGGGTTCTTTGGAAATTCAGTGCAGTGTTTTCTTATTCACTATGTGAATGTGATGGATGATCCAACACATCTGCACACCACGGGGGTGAAAGAAAACCCTGTCCTGATATCCCTAACAAGGTAGTCCAATGTTGTTAAAGTCAGATTAATTGCTAAAGGAATCCCTAAATAGTTAATTAGATCGGGGGAAGAACACCTACTTGTTAATTTTTGGAGTGAAATTAAATCAACAAAATTGCAGAAGTGGATAATTGGGAATCAAACCTATGGTTCTGAAAATCATTGGATGAATTTGATTGAAGGAGGATGTTATCATACTGGTGGGTATTGAATCTACAGTTCACTGAGCTTACAATGTGGGTATAACTGTAACAATCTAGTATTTTTGTTTTCTTTTGATGGGAGTTTGTTCCTTTGATACTTTGCCTCAGATCACTGTTTCACCCTCCTTCCTCCATCCCTCCCTTCCTCCATCCCCCCTCTCATCCTCCCTACCTCTGCCCCCCCCCCCCTCCCCTCCTCCCTCCCCTCCCCTCCCCCCTTCCCTCCAGTGCACACTGAGGCTGTGCCAGAGTTGTTTCCATAGAAACGGGTTGCCTTGCCAGTAAGAAGGTGGGGCTGGGGGGGGGGGGGGGGGGGGGGGGTGGCTGTATGGGTTAATTGGGGGTGGGGTTTATATGAGTCCGCGTCCACACAGATTGTACCCCCCATCCCACCACCCTCCAGGTCTCCAGGGTACGCCTCTCAAAGAAACCAACCTCCTGTTTAACATTTATCCCTCCTTTGTGTGTCACAAAGGATTCACTTACTGGGATTATCAGCACTCATTACCAGAAGGCTCTGCGGTTTGAATTGAACTGGAAGAGATTTGATACTGTGAAGTGGTGGTGTGAAGTCATCATACACATGATGGGCCCGGCCTGCACATTTACACATGCACGCAGCACAGACATATAGACCACCAAGTCTTTGATGTATTTGATAAATGTGCCATACCCTAATGTAATGTTAGCTAATGGCAATCACCCAAAATGTTTATAGTGTGACCATATATAATTCATGATATCATAACACTGTGAAATCACAACATCTGTTGTCCTACCTATGTAAAGGGGCCATGTTTTTAAGTATTTTTATGCAATGACCCAACAGTGTCCTCTAGTGTATGGATCATTACAGTACTTATAATAATAATAATATGCCATTTAGTAGATGCTTTTATCCAAAGCGACTTACAGTCATGCGTGCATACATATTTTTATTTTTTTTGTGTATGGGTGGTCCCGGGGATCGAACCCACTACCTTGGCGTTACAAGTGCCGTGCTCTACCAGCTTCTTAGATTGGATCACAAACTCAACATTTCACCTCATAAATAAAGATTGGGGGAATATTCTCTCCCTCTGCTACAAATTCATTTTTATTTCTAGGGGTTTGTTTATTAACATATTTCACATATTTCAGCAGGTCAATATTTCAGGAAGCGGCAGCTATTGACTTTAGAAGACTTCAGGATATACTGATGAAATACATGCAATTTCCATAGATATAAATGGTAGATTTTCTCAGTTATAGAAAAATATCAGTTTAAAATAAAATGAAGTGATTGCAGTATATATTATGATATTTTTTAAATAAGATTCACTATACAAATCTGATCTTAACTAGACAACATGAATTTCCAAGGCAAACAGTGCTTTGTATACAGTATGTATTTAAATGTATCAATGTTGAAATAATTGAAGAGACCTTGATGTCATCCAAATTAATAATGAATTCTGCCCTTCTGATACACTAAGTTGTTTAATAATATGCCTTAATTTCTATTAAACTATCTCTATTGACCTCTTCATTTCTGACTACTAGGCAACAGGCATTGCAGCTTGAATAACTTAAATATCAACTTTAATATGTCTTTGAGTTCCCTAAATCTAGCATAAAAGTGTTCCAGCACTAAGTATCGAAAACATGATAGGTAAAGTTATCTTGCTTGGGTTTGAGGCTGAAGCTGTAGGTTCCAATTCGCTTCCTGTGGTAGAAGAACAAGGAAGAGAGACTCCCGATAAAGAGGAGGAATAGTCCTATTCCCAGTAAACTGTAGCCCACCAGACGAAGAGTATCAGCTCTCTCTTTGACGGACACTGTCAGAAAACATGTCAGAATACATTAACTCCACAATATGTACAGTTGATCATCCTATATATCATGTAGCCTCGTACAAACCATCCTGAGCCTTTTTGTAAAATGTGTTATAAGATTGCAGAACACATTCATTGACTATAGCTCAGCATTCAATACCATAGTACCCTCCAAGCTCATCATTAAGCTCGAGGCCCTGGGTCTGAACCCCGCCCTGTGCAACTGGGTCCTGGACTTCCTGACGGGCTGCCCCCAGGTGGTGACGGTAGGAAACAACATCTCCACTTCGCTGATCCTCAACACTGGTGCCCCACAAGGGTGCGTGCTCAGCCCCCTCCTGTACTCCCTGTTCACCCATGACTGCGTGGCCAAGCACGCCTCCAACTCAATCATCAAGTTTGCAGACAACACAAGAGTAGTAGGCTTGATTACCAACAATGACGAGACAGCGTACAGGGAAGAGGTGAGGGCTCTGGGAGTGTGGTGCCAGTAAAATAACCTCTCACTCAACGTCAACAAAACAAAGGAGATGATCGTGGACTTCAGGATACAGCAGAGGGTGCACCCCCCTATCCACATCGACGGGACCGCAGTGGAGAAGGTGGAAAGCTTCAAGTTCCTTGGCGTACACATCACTAACAAACTTAAATGGTCCACCCACACAGACAGTGTGGTGAAGAAGGCGCAACAGAGCCTCTTCAACCTCAGGAGCCAAGAAATTTGGCTTGGCACCTAAAACCCTCACAAACTTTTACAGATGCACAATTGAGAGCATCCTGTCGGGCTGTATCACCACCTAGTACGGCAACTGCACCGCCCGCAACCGCAGGGCTCTCCAGAGGGTGGTGCGGTCTGCCGAACGCATTACCGGGGGCAAACTACCTGCCCTCCAGGACACCTACAGCACCCGATGACACAGGAAGGCAAAAAAGATCATCAAGGACATCAACCACCCGCGCCACTGCCTGTTCACCCTGTTATCATCCAGAAGGCGAGGTCAGTACAGGTGCATCAAAGCTGGGACTGAGAGAATGAAAAACAGCTTCTATCTCAAGGCCATCAGACTGTTAAATAGCCATCACTAGCACACTAGAAGCTGCTGCTGCCTATTGAAATCACTGGCCACTTTAAGAAATTGAACACTAGTCACTTTAATAATGTGTACATATCTAATCTCATATGTATATACTGTATTCTATAATATTCTACAGTATCTTAGTCCATGCCGCTCTGTCATTGCTTGTCCATATATGTAAACTCAGCAAAAAAAGAAACGTCCTCTCACTGTCAACTGCGTTTATTTTCAGCAAACTTAATATGTGTAAATATTTGTATGAACATAACAAGATTCAACAACTGAGACATAAACTGAACAAGTTCCACAGACATGTGACTAACAGAAATTGAATAATGTGTCCCTGAACAAAGGGGGAGTCAAAATCAAAAGTAACAGTCAGTATCTGGTGTGGCCACCAGCTGCATTAAGTACTGCAGTGCATCTCCTCCTCATGGACTGCACCAGATTTGCCAGTTCTTGCTGTGAGATGTTACCCCACTCTTCCACCAAGGCACCTGCAAGTTCCCAGACTCCCTGTAGCGCTGTCTTAGGCGTCTCACAGTACGGACATCGCAATTTATTGCAGTCCTCATGCCTCCTTGCAGCATGCCTAAGGCACGTTCACGCAGATGAGCAGGGACCCTGGGCATTTTTCTTTTGTTGTTTTTCAGAGTCAGTAGAAAGGCCTCTTTAGTATCCTAAGTTTTCATAACTGTGACCTTAATAGCCTACCGTCTGTAAGCTGTTAGTGTCTTAACGACCGTTCCACAGATTTAATTTGATTAGGAGGGATTTTAGACCTTTCCTCCATACAGAATCTTTCCAGATCCTTGATATCCTTTGTCTGCGCTTATGGACTGCCCTCTTCAATTCAAACCACAGGTCTTCAATGGGGTTAAAGTCTGGATACTGAGATGGCCATTGCAAAATGTTGATTTTGTGGTCAATTAACCATTTCTTGATGTGTGCTTGGAGTTATTGTTTTTGTCTTGCTGGAAGATCCACTTGCGGCCAAGTTTCAGCATCCTGGCAGAGGCAACCAGGTTTTTGGCTAAAATGTCCTGGTACTGGGTAAAGTTCATGATGTCGTTGACCTTCACAAGGGAATCACGTGAATCCCTCCGAATGTGTTCTCCAATCTCATAAAACATTTTAGAAAAAGACTCAGTGCTGTTATCCTCGCAAGGTGAGGTATTGAAAGGTATTGAAAACAGGGGTGCCAATCATTTTGACCCCTGTCTTTTTGAGAGAAACAAATATTACTAGTTAAACAAAATCTCTTTGTCTGAGCAATTGTATTAGTATAAAATAATATACTTTTCCATTTTTTTTTTGCATACAATATAGCTTAGTATTTTTATAATTTATTTTATACAGTATTTTTGCTCATCTTTATCAAGGGTGCCAATAATGTTGGACTTGGCTGTATATGAAATTCTGGATATTCTGGATATTATCAGTAGCCTAGTCATCATGTTGTCACAGTATAGCTTATTTTGATGCAGTCACACTTAAAGAGCATTTACTGTACCTTTGTGTGATCTAAGGAATGGTCCACAGAATGCTTTTGCTGTTCCAATTAGATTGGATAATCTTTCTGTCCGCTCAAAGCAATCCTGACAAAGGAAAAGATTATGGAAAAAGAACAGCATTGAACTATACTTAACAAAAATATAAACGCAACATGCAACAATTTAAAAGATTTTACAGAGTTACAGTTCAAATAAGGAAATCAGTCAATTGAAATAAATTAATTAGGCCCTAATCTATAGATTTTACATGACTGGGAATACATATATGCATTTGTTGATACCTTAAAAAAAGGTAGGGGTGTGGATTAGAAAACCAGTCAGTATCTGGTGTGACCACCATTTGCCTCATCCAGCGCAACACATCTCCTTCGCATAGAGTTGATCAGGCAGTTGATTGTGGCCTGTGGAATGTTGTCCCCCAATGGCTGTGTGAAGTTGCTCGATATTGGCGGGAACTGGAACATGCTGTCGTAAACGTTGATCCAGAGCATCCCAAACATGCTCAATGAGCGACATGTCTGGTGAGTATGCAGGCCATGGAAGAACTGGGACATTTTCAGCTTCCAGAAGTTGTGTACAGATCCTTGCGACATGGGGCCTTGCATTATCATGCTGAAACATGAGGTGATGGCAGCGGATGAATGACACCGCAATGGGCCTCAGAATCTCATCACGGTATCTCTGTGCATTCAAATTGCCATCGATAAAATGCAATTGTGTTAGTTGTCCGTAGCTTATGCCTACCCATACCATAACTCCACCGCCACCATGGGGCACTCTGTTCACAACGTTGACATCAGATAACCGCTCGCCCACACAACGCCATACATGCTGTCTGCCATCTGCCCGGTACAGTTGAAACCAGGATTCATCCGTGAAGAGCACACTTCTCCAGCATGCCAGTGGCCATTGAAGGTGAGCATTTGCCCACTGAAGTTGATAACGAAGCCGATCTGCAGTCAGATCAAGACCCTGGTGAGGATGACGTGCATGCAGATGAGCTTCCCTGAGGTGGTTTCTGACAGTTTGTGCAGAAATTATTCGGTTGTGCAAACCCACAGTTTCATCAGCTGTCCGGGTGGCTGGTCTTAGACGATCCTGCAGGTGAAAAAGCCGGATGTGGAGGTCCTGGGCTGGCGTGGTTACACGTGGTCTGCGGTTGTGAGGCCAGTTGGATGTACTGCTAAATTCTCTAAAACGACGTTGGAAGTGACTTATGGTAGAGAAATGAACATTCAATTCACTGACAACAGCTCTGGTAGACATTCCTGCAGTCAGCATGCCAATTGCACACTCCCTCAAAACTTGAGACATCTGTGGCCTTTTATTGTCCCCAGCACAAGGTGCACCTGTGTAATGATCATGCTGTTTAATCAGCTTCTTGATATGCCACACTTGTCAGGTGGATGGATTATCTTGGCAAAGGAGAAATGCTCACTAACAGGGATGTAAACAAATTTGTGCACAACATTTGAGAGAAATACGCTTTTTGTGCGTATGGAAAATTTCTGGGATCTTTTATTTCAGCTCATGAAACATGGGATCAACACTTTACATGTTGCGTTTATAATTTTGTTCAGTATAATTAAACCTTCTCTGAGTAGAGAATTTTTAAAGAGCCTTTAGGTAGTCATATCAAAAGGGTTGAACACAGTGGCTAAATTGAAATGGAGATACTCGGAGCCGGACTCCTTCACCTTGGATCAAAGGAAGAGCCAGGCTGAGCCGAGCTCCAGCACCTTACGGGTCCAAAGAGGAGTAGGATAAAAAGCAGGATAAAAGTAGTAACCCTAACCCAAACCCTAGAACAGTAATACATTGTACTTACAGCAGTTACCCTAACCCTAACTCTAACCCTAATCTTGGCATAACCCTAGCCTTTTATTCAACCCGCCAGTGCTTCCCCACCTCCGAATACCCAATTTAACCCCTGGTTGAACAGTAAATATAGACATCAAAGTAAATACTGTATACTTGAGTAGTACAGTATGAATAAAGCTGGACAGATACTCACAGGCTGGCAGGTGGCCGAGCCAGTCTCGATACAGATCTGAATCTGGCAGTGCAGGTAGATGACATTCAGGTTGACGTAGGAGAAAATGCGAAGAGACAGGCGAGACTTGCTGGAGTTGCCGTTCTCCACGACTGTGGTGTATGTGTTTGGGAGGGGACAGCTGATGAGAAAGAGAGAGACAGATTACTGGCAGAAAGCTTAGAAAGTACCCAAACATATCTGAATCTTCAAGCAAATGTCCATCCTCGGATGGACAATACATCTAAATTATATTCTATTATATTCCATGCCACTGAATGAAAACCTAGCATCTAAGCTAACTATGATAGGGCACTTTCAAAAGCAATTGTAGAACATACCTGTTTTCCAGGAAAACATTGGTTGTTGGTTCCAAGGGGTTGCTGCTCTGGGTGGCCCAGCACTTGTTGATGACCACTTTGATCTGGGCAACTGTGGAGTCAACGCTGACCTCGACCACAACGTCCTCCTCAGGAGACATGCTGTGGTTCTGGGGGAGGGGGGACATTCCACTCAGGAGCTGAATCATCACATGGAACGTCCCTGAGCCCATGACGGCATCTTTGATCATATCATACCTGTCAATACACCGTAAGATATTATGTAAATAAAGAGCAAAATATATAATGGATGCTGAATACTCAAATACACTGTATATCAATAAGAGAGATATTTGCAAGCATGTATTTGAGTAGTGATGTAAAATTGGGTTCTAGACATTTTTAGTCTAGCTGAGCAGTGATTTGTGGGAGTTAAAAGGTGGAGTGAGGTGGATGTGACATTTAACATTTAAGTCATTTAGCAGACGCTCTTATCCAGAGCGACTTACAAATTGGACCATAGTGATATACAGCACCAGTCAAAAGTTTGGATACACCTACTCATTCAAGGATTGTTCTTTATTTTTACTATTTTCTACATTGTAGAATAATAGTGAAGACATCAAAACTATAAAATAACACATATGGAATCATGTAGTAACCAAAAAAGTGTTAAACAAATCAAAATATATTTTATATTTGAAGTCTGGAATGCTTTTCCAACAGTCTTGAAGGAGTTCCCACATATGCTGAGCTGACTCATCCCAAACCATCCCAATTGGGTTGAGGTCCGGGGATTGTGGAGGCCAGGTCATCTGATGCAGCACTCCATCACTCTCCTTCTTGGTAAATTAGCCCTTACACAGCCTGGAGGTGTGTTGGGTCATTGTCCTATTGAAAAACAAATTATAGTCCCACTAAGCCCAAACCAGATGGGATGGCGTATTGCTGCAGAATGCTGTGGTAGCCATGCTGGTTAAGTGTGCCTTGAATTCTAAATAAATCACAGACAGTGTCACCAGAAAAGCACTCCCACACCATAACACCTCCTCCTCCATGCTTTACGGTGGGAACTACACATGCGAAGATCATCCATTCACCCACACCGCGTCTCACAAAGACACGGCGGTTGGAAAAGCATTCCAGAATTTAAATATAAAATATATTTTGATTTGTTTAACACTTTTTTGGTTACTACATGATTCCATATGTGTTATTTCATAGTTTTGATGTCTTCACTATTATTCTACAATGTAGAAAATAGTAAAAATAAAGAAAAACCCTTGAATGAGTAGGTGTGTCCAAACTTTTGACTGGTAGTGTAGGTAAGGTAACCATGGCGCCTGGTAGAGCGTACCCTGTGGTGCTGTAACCAGAGGAGATGATGATGCTCCTCCTGAAGGTACATATGATGGGGACCTTCAGCCGTACTGTGGAAACCCTTGTAGTGTCGTCGGGCAAGAGCTGAGAGTTCATAGAGTTGTACAGATTCACCTGAGCAGTGTAGTGAGTGCTGTTCTGAAGTGCAAAAGTTAACAGGAGTATGGGTTAGTTATTTTATTTTCTAACAGACCATGAGGACAGTTCAATCTAGATTGGTCATCCAACACCTGCACCTACAAGAGACCATGGTCACAGGCTGCATGTTTTTAATGTATAGAATAAATGCTGCATAAATAATGGTCACTTTAACCTGTTAAATCCAGGTCTGTTCTGTGCATTATAGAATAACCTTTTATGTAGCCAAAACACACCAGAGACTATGCTCTTTGTGACACAGGGGGGCAGTAGGTAGCACCCTCTAGCCACTGACTCACATGTAAAAGCTGTGTGTTACACTCATCCCAAGCCACCGTCAGCTGGACGTGGCTACTGTTCCCTCCGTTCACGCCACACTCCTGTCTCCCTAGGAACAGGGAAGAGTCCCCGATGTGCCCCGCCCACAGGAAGTCCCTGGCCACCGTCACTGTGATGGCACTGGGCCTGCACTCCACTGAGATGGCTTCCGTATAAGAGACCAGAGGAGCCAGAGATGTAGGAGTCTCAGGCTGCAGACTGGTTTTGATGAGACCGCTGGTCGTTGTTGTAGGAACTTCAGTGGTGGTTGAGGTTGTAACTGGGGCCATGGTTGTGATTGTGACTACAGTTTTGGTTGAAACTGTGTTGTTGATTCTAACTGTATTGTTGGCAGTGGTTGTAACTGGTGAGTTCATTGTAGCTGCATCTGTATTGTTGGTTGTAATTGAGGTTGTATTGTAGGTGGTAGTGGTTGAAACTGTATTGTTGGTTGTAACCGGAGTGTTTGTTGTGGTTGTGGTTGTGGTTGTAGCTGGAGCTGTGGTCGTCTGGACAGCTGTCGTGATGGACATAGGTGTGGTTGTGGTTGTGGTCAAAGGAGCTGTAAGGCAAAAAATATAAGACAATTACAAGTTGAACTGTAGTGAACTGATTAGGCAGTGAGAGAAGAATACTCTAGTAACCATATCCAGATACATCTGAATTTAGACTATCAAAAAAGTTAAAGCGTTTACTCCCTTTTGTCTACCTGAACAGCCCCGTCCCGGCCTGGAGGGGTTAGAGTCCGTGAATCCATCCAGACAGAGACAGCTGTAGGAGCCCCAGGTGTTAGTGCACAGGGCCCATGGGGAGCAGTCCATGTCCCCTGTACTGCACTCATCAACATCTGTTTGAAACAACAACAAAAATCTGGTATTGAAAATCAGGTTAACCGTTTATGCAGATTGGTATCACTAAATGTGCTCTCCATTTAATGCTAACAGAGAGTTATCTTATTTCATACTCAACCTATATTTAACCAGGAAGTCCCATTACTACAAATAATCATTTTCATGGAAGGCCCATTGGAGACCTGGCACATTATCTTGTGCACATCCTTTTATCAAAATCAAAGTATTCTTACAACTGTACAAGGTTAAGACAGCGTTACCATCTATGCTGGTGTTGTTCCTGTCAACAGTGTATCTGGAGCTGTTCTGTAGGGCCTGCATCAGAGCAGAGGACCCGTTCAGGATGTCCTGGGACTGACTGGGTGTGAAGATTATGGTGAAGTTCACTACTACACTGCCAGGGGCCAGGCCTATGATCTGAAACCTCACATCTCCTGAGTTCACCAGGGCCAGAATATCAGGAGGGAGAGACTGGAGGATCTGTGGGACAGTTAGAGGTGACAGGGTGTTTGTGTCAGTGTCATTTGATAGAAACTACAACATTACAACATGTAACAACTACAACATGTAGGAACTACAAAACATGTTTAAGTGTCTTTATTTTTATTTTTGAAATCATTCATTCATTCCAGGTTCTATAAGTGAGGACAATGACAACATTCAAACATTCAACATTTGTAAACATTCAAAAAACATTCATCAAAGCATCTGTTGTGTAGTAGTCTCCTACCTCTTCCTCAATACTACGACTAAGATTCTGATACTCCTGGCTAGTGGGGTCCAGCAGGGCATCAGTGAACTGCATATTGGTCAGGCGAGCTGTTGCTCCAAGTGTCTGTGCAGCTGTGAATGGGATACACACATCCAGTCAAAGCACCGCAGTAACTAGAACAGTTTCATATCTGCTATAGAAGTCAGCATAATGTGAAAGTGCTTTCGTAAGTACAACCAAATCATATTGCTGTGTCAGTGTCTAATGAATAATAGAGGGGTTTCCTCTTGTCCTTGTTCAGATGGCTTTGGCCAGCAGTTCACTATAGGGCACACCATATCAGCCTCCTTACGCATAAAGTACATATACAGTGCCTTCGGAAAGTATTCAGAACCCTTGACTTTTTCCAAATGTTGTTATGTTATAGCCTTATTCTAAAATGGATTACATTTTTAAAATTCCACAGAAATCTACACACAATACCCCATAATGACAAAGCGAAAACAGGTTTTTAGAAATTTTTGCAAATGTATTACAAATAAAAAACAGAAATACCTTCTTTACATAAGTATTCAGACCCTTTGCTATGAGACTCGAAATTGAGCTCAGGTGCATCCTGTTTCCATTGATCATCCATTAGATATTTTACAACTTGATTGGAGTCCACCTGGGGTAAATTCAATTGATTGGACATTATTTGGAAAGGCACACAACTGTATCTAAAAGGTCCCACAGTTGACAGTGCATGTCAGAGCAAACACCAAGCCATGAGGTCGAAGGAACTGTCCGTAGAGCTCTGAGACAGGATTGTGTCGAGGCACAGATCTGGGGAAGGGTACCAACAAATGTCTGCAGCATTGAAGGTCCCCAAGAACACAGTGGCCTCCATCATTCTTAAATGGAAGAAGTTTGGAACCACCAAGACTCTTCCTAGAGCTGGCCGCCCGGCCAAACTGCGCAATCGGGGGAGAAGGGCCTTGGTCAGGGAGGTGACCAAGAACCCGATGGTCACTCTGACAGAGCTCTAGAGTTCCTCTGTGGAGATGGGAGAACCTTGAAGAAGGACAACCATCTCTGCAGCACTCCACCAATCAGGCCTTTATGGTAGAGTTGCCAGATGGAAGCTACTCCTCAGTAAAAGGCACATGACAGCCCGCTTGGAGTTGCCAAAAGGCACCTAAAGACTCTCAGACCATGAGAAACAAGATTCTCTGGTCTGATGAAACCAAGACTGAACTCTTTGTCCTGAATGCCAAGCATCACGTCTGGAGGAAACCTGGCACCGTTTTTCAGTGGCAGGGAGACTAGTCAGGATCGAGGCAAAGACGAACGGAGCAAAGTACAGAGAGATCCTTGGAGGAAACCTGGCACCATCCCTACGATGAAGCATGGTGGTGGCAGCATCGTGCTGTGGGGATGTTTTTTAGCGGCAGGGACTGGGAGACTAGTCAGGATCGAGGGAAAGATTAATGGAGCAAAGTACAGAGAGATCCTTGATGAAAACCTGCTCCAGAGTGCTCAGGACCTCAGACTGGGGTGAAGGTTCACCTTCAAACAGGACAACGACCCTAAGCACACAGCCAAGACAACGCAGGAGTCTCTGAATGTCCTTGAGTGTCCCAGCCAAATCCCGGACTTGAACACGATCGAACATCTCTGGAGAAACCTGAAAATAGCTGTGCAGCAACGCTCCCCATCCAACCTGACAGAGCTTGAGAGGATCTGCAGAGAAGAATGGGAGAAACTCCCCAAATAAAGGTGTGCCAAGCTTGTAGCGTCATACCCAAGAAGACTCTAAGCTATAGTCGCTGCCATAGGTACTTCAACAAAGTACTGAGTAAAGTGTCTGAATACTTATGTAAATGTGATATTTCAGTTAATTTTTTATTATAAATTAGCAGAAATTTCTAAAAACCTGTTTTTGCTTTGTCATTATGGGATATTGTGTGTAGATTGATGAGGGAAAAAAACAATTTAATCAATTTTAGAATAAGGCTGTAACTCAACAAAATGTGGAAAAAGTCAAGGGGTCTGAATACTTTCCAAAAGGCACTGTAGCTAAAATATACTGCATCAGTTTAAGTATATACACATTTTAAGTGATATTACCATAACAAAACTGAAAAAGATGACAGAAAGTTGATATATGAAACACATTCTTCACATGGTACTTACCAGTCTTAACCAGCAGCAGCAGGCTGGCCCCCTGGCTCCCATAGGGACAGGGAATGACAGTAACGTTGTAAAGAACCCCAGGCTTCAACAATGTCACCTCCCAGACTGACAGCCCCGTCTCCCAGCGTCCCCTGACCTTTGACCCCTCCATTAGCACCACCAGAAAGCTAAGCCTGCTCTGGGATTGGCCAGTCATCCAGGACACGCAGAAGGAGGAGCCAGTGACATTGGAAGCCTGCAGGTTGGTGATGGGGGCGGGGTCTGGGGGAGAGGGGAGAAGGGAGACAGTAATCAATCTCACCTTCTATGAAATATCATTTTAGCAATCTTGAAATTAGAAATGACTTTGTGAGACTCTCATTTCTTAAAATTATGAGATTAAAGATGTATGTGGAGTACTTTGGAGAATATTATCCAAATAGCCTCAGGGGTTCATAGAAACAGCAGGGGAGTCATTGGGGGAAATTATGTCAACAAAATATTAGAAGTGATATTTAAAAATGTCCATATGCTTAAAACTGTTGCTGTTGTACAATGTATAATGGGTGTGTTATTGATTTACATACAGCATGTGGATGGAGATGGTGGTGATACACTCAGGGACACCATCAGAGTGGGCTCCAGGCTGGTTTGGGGCATAGTGCTGCTCTGCTGGTGATGTGTCTGCCATGCCGGTACAGAGGGGGCTGAGGTGGAGAGGGATGGGGTTGGAGAGTTGGGGTTAGTGGTATGCTGGAATGAGGTGGAACTACTCCAGGATGTGAGAGCTGTACTGATTTCAGGCTTGCTGGAGGTCAATCCAGTACTCCAGGGTGTCACTGTGGCACTGGTCTCAGACCTGTTGGAGCTGGCTTGAACTGGATTATGTGTGGTAGCAGGTATATGGGTGGAGCTCAGTATCATGCCCCTGTCTGTGGTTGTAGCTATGGCTGTTGGGTTTCAGTAAAGCTGGAGACCCAAGACTGATAGCTGGTGCTGTTGGGTGGCAACTCTGTAGCATTGGCCCACCGGAACATATGAGTGGCATTACTGGGCATGGCTGAGGTCACAGGGTCAGCAGCTGAAAGGAGAACGAATAGGTTGAGTGTTAGCTACAAACATTTAAATATTTACAATAATTTCATATAACCCAGAGTAAGTACACACCACTCCCTGTCCTTACCTTGGCAGCGTACCCCTGTGTTGTTGAGGTTGAGATCAATGAATCCTGGATGGCAGGTGCAGCTGTAGGAGCCCTCTGTGTTGGTACAGTCTGCCTGACGTGAGCAGCTGCTGAGAGCGGCATGGGTACACTCATTCATATCTGAAAGGACAGCAACATAATGTGTAGTAGATACTGTGTACAGGACCTACATTATACATGTGTGTGTGTTTGTGAGTGTGTGTGTGTGTGTGTGTGTGTGTGTGTGTGTGTGTGTGTGTGTGTGTGTGTGTGTGTGTGTGTGTGTGTGTGTGTGTGTGTGTGTGTGTGTGTGTGTGTGTGTGTGTGTGTGTGTGTGTGTGTGTGTGTGTGTGTGTGTGCGTGCGTGTGCGTGTGCGTGTGCGTGTGCGAGTGCGAGTGCGAGTGCGTGTGTGTGTGTGTGTGTGTGTGTGTGTGTGTGTGTGTGTGTGTGTGTGTGTGTGTGTGTGTGTGTGTGTGTGTGTGTGTGTGTGTGTGTGTGTGTGTGTGTGTGTGTGTGTGTGTGTGTGTCAATGACCAGTTTTCCATTCCAGAGGAAACATGTCACAAGTGAGTGTGAAGGGGAAGTGGAGGCAGAGTAGGTCACCGTGGTGTTACAGATTCAGCTTTTCCTGAGCAGTGTTCTCAGTAACACGAGTACAACTCTAACACATACATCATTATAGCCACCAGAAAACCTAACAAAGTCTAACAAACTAACTGACAGATGTGACCAGCGATATATGGCACTCACTTACAATAGAGATGTATATGGCCCTCGGTATTACAGAAAAGCCTGTGTATTTTACGCCCCACAGTACAGTACAGTCTCCCCTTACCTTCAACTGACACCGAGGTGACTTCTTCAATGTGTTTGAGAAGAAGGTGCAGCTTTGTGATCGTGTTGGACAGGGACAGAGTTTCAGGGGAACCAATCAGCAGAGAGGAGGTGGTTCTAAATGGTCCTATTGGCCAGGAGCTGATGTAGTATACAGAGACGTCATAGAAGTCCAGCGCTCCAGTCACCTGTAAGCCAATACTGAATGGTCAAGGCCTGTACTGGGCACATACAGTGAGAAATATAGGGACTATATAATGGACCGTCATTGAGAAGAACATAGGGAGAGATACAGTAACCTACCACAGAGTGCAACAGCCTTGTGTGGTTCAGGATTCCCCCATCCATGGATATCAGCCGCTGGTAATCTGTCTTCGCAGTCACAATGACGTGGAAGCACCAGCCTCTACTGCCTGAGTGAAATAATAAAGAATACTAGTATGTTTACAATATAATTTTCTGTGACTGTACTATACAGTGACTATACATATCATATCACTGTACTATATACATGACAATGCCCCCAGCCACAAAGCACGAGTGGTCACTGAATGGTTTGATAAGCATGAAAACGATGTAAACCATTTGCCATGGCTGTCTCAGTCACCAAATCTCAGCCCAATTGAACACTTATGGGAGATTCTGGAGCAGCGCCTGAGAAAACATTTTCCACCACCATTAACAAAACACCAAATTATGAAATTTCTCATGAAAGAATGGTGTCTCATCCTGCCAATGGACTTCCAGACACTTATAGAATCCATGACAAAGTGCATTGAAGTTGTTCTGGCTCATGGTGGCCCAACACCCTATTAAGACACTTTATGTTGGTGTTTCCTTTATTTTCGCATTTACCTGTATATCTTTGATCACTATAAAGTTGATCTGGGATGTGTACTCACCTGCAGACTGAGGGTCAGTACAGAGAGAGAGGCCTTCTCTCTGGCAGCACTTTTGCCAGCCTGGGCAGTCTAAGTCCTATTCACACCCTCCACTCCTGTGTGCCTCCACTACACCCTCTGGACAGGACCCTGGTTTAGCAGTGAACTCTCCACTTCTGTTCATAGCTTAATCAATGAGAGAGAGAAAGAGTATCAGATCAAATGTTTACAAAGAGCACTGTAAATAGCAAACTATAACTGTGTTCTTGGTCCACAGCCCCATCTAGTGTTCTTTGTTAGCTGCTCCATTTAAATGGGTCTGCATGACTACTGGTCCTTATTGTAGTAGGGCAGGCCCATGGTACTGATGTACTGTAAATTGTGAAAATGACCAAACTGTTAAATATATTTTTTACACTTTTTAGATACTTCTGTGCTCTCCTAAACATATTTTATTTTCATGTTAAATAAATCCTAAAATACAAGATAGATTTCTCACGTAAAGCACAGTAGCTGCCCACTTGTTCATAGCCATCACAACACCTCAAAACGTCTTTGGTGACATTCATGTACTCAGTCCGATAGGCCTTTTTGTAAAGAGTGACCTCACACATCTTCCAGGGTAGCCAGCCGCCACATGACCTCCTGTCCGCGTAAGAGGTCTTATAGGACAACACTTTACTCACCACCCTGCTCTCATGTCCAGTACACAGGTGGTAGCTGGACATAGACAGGTCATATCCTGAAATAAAGGAATAGTTATATTATATATCTAATGGAGACAATCCATGTTTTTTATGTTTGCAGAATCTAAGACAAATGTGCAGGGCATTCCAAAACAACAGTTACAAATACATAATATTGGAAAATAAGTATTTGCAGATCAATGTTGCATAAATAACAGAATATATGAACACGTACACATAACAGGTTTTCATTTCCACAACAGCGAGCATTCATAGGAGTGCCCGCAGCCAAGGAGTGCCCACAGTATCAATGCAGGTACAGTATAAGAAATTGAATAATTTGCATAGGGCATCTGGTTTAAGAATCACTAAAACATATTTACAAAGATATCATGGAACATGGTAATAAACAGTAGAGCATACACATTATCTGAGGGGTGGCCAGTCCTCTTCTGGCTGTGCCGGGTGAAGATTATAACAGAACCATGCCAAGATGTTCAAAAATGTTCATAAGTGACAAGCATGGTCAAATAATAATCAGGAATAAATCTCAGTTGGCTTTTCATAGCCGATCATTAAGAGTTGAAAACAGCAGGTCTGGGACAGGTAGGGGTTCCATAACCGCAGGCAGAACAGTTGAAACTGGAATAGCAGCAAGGCCAGGCGGACTGGGGACAGCAAGGAGTCACCACGGCCGGTAGTCCCGACGTATGGTCCTAGGGCTCAGGTCTCTCAGTTGGCTTTTCATAGCCGATCATTAAGAGTTGAAAACAGCAGGTCTGGGACAGGTAGGGGTTTCGTAACCGCAGGCAGAACAGTTGAAACTGGAATAGCAGCAAGGCCAGGCGGACTGGGGACAGCAAGGTGTCATCATGCCCGGTAGTCCTGACGTATGGTCCTAGGGCTCAGGTTCTCAGAGAGAAAGAGAGAACGAGAGAATTAGAGAGAGCATACTTAAATTCACACAGGACACTGGATAAGACAGGAGAAGTACTCCAGGTATAACCAACTAACCCCAGCCCCCCGACACATAAACTACTGCAGCATAAATACTGGAGGCTGAGACAGGAGCGGTCCGGAGACACTGTGGCCCCATCCGAAGAAACCCCCGGACAGGGCCAAACAGGAAGGATATAACCCCACCCACTCTGCCAAAGCACAGCCCCCGCACCACTAGAGGGATATCCTCAACCACCAACTTACAATCCTGAGACAAGGCCGAGTATAGCCCACAGAGGTCTCCACCACAGCACAAACCAAGGGGGGGCGCCAACCCAGACAGGAAGATCACGTCAGTAACTCAACCCACTCAAGTGACGCACCCCTCCCAGGGACGGCATGAAAGAGCACCAGCAAGCCAGTGACTCAGCCCCTGCAACAGGGTTAGAGGCAGAGAACCCCAGTGGAGAGGGGAACCGGCCCGGCAGAGACAGCAAGGGCTGTTCGTTGCTCCAGAGCCTTTCCGTTCACCTTCACACTCCTGGGCCAGACTACACTCAATCATATGACCTACTGAAGAGATAAGTCTTCAGTAAAGACTTAAAGGTTGAGACCGAGTCTGCGTCTCTCACATGGGTAGGCAGACTGTTCCATAAAAATGGAGATCTATAGGAGAAAGCCCTGCCTCCCGCTGTTTGCTTAGAAATTCTAGGGACAATTAGGAGGCCTGCGTCTTGTGACCGTAGCGTACGTATTGGTATGTACGGCAGGACCAACTCGGAAAGATAGGTAGGAGCAAGCCCATGTAACGCTTTATAGGTTAACAGTAAAACCTTGAAATCAGCCCTTGCCTTAACAGGAAGCCAGTGTAGGGAAGCTAGCACTGGAGTAATATGATCAAATTTCTTGGTTCTAGTCAGGATTCTAGCAGCCGTATTTAGCACTAACTGAAGTTTATTTAGTGCTTTATCCGGGTAGCCGGAAAATAGAGCATATTTGATTGTGTCATAGCTTCATTTTGCTTATTTTCCTACCTTCAAACAAAGTGTTGTGTCCCCTACAGAGGTCCAGAAAGGCTGCGGCCAGAAAGAGTGAGGACATCCAACTCATCTTGAATAAATGAAATACGGCACGTATTCTAGGACCATGCTGCACGTCCATTTTCAGAGCTGAGTTGTTGGTAACTGTTCTGAGTTTCTTTCCCCTCATCATCCACACCCCCTGATCTCCTCCTCCCTTGCTCCCACAGTCCCCAGAATCTAGATGGAGAGAATCTAGATGGAGAGAGTATACAACTACATGGAGAGGGTTTATTCATTCACATTTGGTTCAAGTGCCATTTCTGGAGTCAAACTTATCCCTTTGAATGTTCCTATGTTGACATAGCATTTCAGAGATTTAAAATGACTGATAATCCCTAACTGTATGCTTATCACCCCAACCAGTTATAATCAAGGCCTTCTATGTATAACCATACAAGGCTTTGTACACACTTGTAGTTTTGCTTTTGTGCACTAGTTTTGTTATGACCTGCCATGGCACTGTCAGTGCCAGCAAACAACATGTTAGTGATGCTAGAGGGGGAAAATGGTGGCTGTGAGTGGAGAGCAGCAGTGTTTGTCCCAGGTGACTTGGTTTCTACTCAGGTAACCATGGCAGTGTTTACTCTCATATCCTCACTCATTTCCTCACCCACAGCCTCCAACAGGCAGGCAGGAGGGGTATTGCTCAGTTGGTAGAGCATGGCGTTTGCAACGCCAGGGTTGTGGGTTTGATTCCCATGGGGGGCCAGTATGAAAAAATTATTTAAAAAATGTATGCACTAACTGTAAGTCGCTCTGGATAAGAGCGTCTGCTAAATGACTAAAATGTAAATGTAAATGTAAAAAATTCCACCCCTTCAGAAAAAGATCTCTATATCTTCTGGAATTTAAAAGGTTTACTCATCACAGCACAATCATTACCGGCTTGGGGATGTTCTACATCTTGAAATTCTAATTCTAAATTCTAAAATTGAACCAAATTAAACAGCATCAGTAATAGGAATGAATCAATTATGATGTTGTGAGGCACTGGGCCATGTAGGCTGTGCTGGAGGGCGGGAGGGTGTGCTCTCAGTGAAGAGGGGTGGCTCAACCTGAGTGGCACAACAACCAAGGTGTCAGCATCACATTAGTTAGTTCCACAGATTATGGTACTGGCCCTAACTGCAGCACCACAATCACAGTGCCTCACCCTCAGTTTCAGGTTGTTCTATCCAGTTTATGCACATACAGTATATATACAAAAGTATGTGGACACCCCTTCAAATTAGTGGATTTGGCTAGTTCAGCCACACCCGTTGCTGACAGGCGTATAAAATCGAGCACACAGCCATGCAATCTCTATTGACAAACATTGGCTTTGATTTGATTTTCCTCAAATTATTGTTGTCATTCATTAGATATATATAAAAAAGAACTTGACCAGTAATAAGAGCAAAATACATTCTGCATTTCCATTCAGTAATTCCACATAATTCAACAGTAGGCTATCCATCTATGGTTTTAGAGAATCACATTCTCGCCAACAGAATATTGATACTTTGCAACTGAGACAGCAATGTTGACTTGATAGGAATATAATGTTTTTTATTTTATTTAATGTGAACTGGTATTGCTTCTCAATGAAATGTTTGAGTCTCAAATAACGAAAATATGACCTGTCACTTTAAGAGGTTTAAATCTTCCTGTCACATCCTACATTCCCGCCTACGGGGTATAAAGCAGCCTATCAGAACGCAGCGCACGTGACGAGCGTTCTATGTGATGACCTCATCCCTGGAGTGGGATGACGTCAAGTTCAAGATGGATGGAATCACGACTACCACACACTCAACAGAATTCTGATATAAAGTCTTGTTCGTGTGCTCCGTGGGAACAGAACGAAGACATAGGGGTAAGTTTAGAAAGCCACAAAACTATCTGGCGATAGTGCCTTATATTGAAGTCTTGTTTGTATGAAATGTTTTTTTCCTGACGTAACTCGAAGGGGGTTTCTTCTTCTTTTATAAACCCCACGAGCAACTGCCCTGTGTGTGCTGTAGATGCTGCGTCTGCGCTGTAACGAGGGAGAACATAAAGTAGCGGGTGTGTGCGCGCACACTCACTGACGGGGTTTTGACTCTGTTCCTTGGAAAGCTCGGAATCATTCTCAGAATGCGCAGTTCTGATGCAACTTTTCTTTTTCGGAAACATTGTAACACAAAGTGATCATGTGATATCACCGCCAGCAACAGTAACAAACAGACCACGCACTGCGTTTTTTGTTTCCATTTTCACTCATCAATTTAGACCGTAACGAGGAGATACTTGCCAGAGTGATAAAACCAGTTTCAGTTTAACTTATGTGTCATCAGGAATTTTAGCCACGTCTCGCGATGATCTAATGCGTGCTTCCCTGACTTCCCATCAGACACATTCTGTGGATGCGCAGCGTTCTAAACTTTTCTGATATGGAACGTGTCAGACACGTTTATTTATCATGTGGAATTGATAGCCGTGTCCACAGTTGTGTGCGGAAAGGAATGAACGCTGCCTGCGTCCCTGCTAAATATGCCCCCATGGCATGCCATGTCTTCTGATTAAAGACATGATGTAATCGAAATAGAACCTATAAATGCGCATGCGTCATGTTATTTGTGCTTATACCACAGATAGGCCTAGATACAGTAGCTCCTACCAGTAGCTGATCTAAACTACTCAATTACATTTAACGTCCTTTTAGTCAAAATGCTGCTTTACAGAATATATATGTGTTTTGGTATTCTAAAAGGAAGGATTTAATAACTAGCTAAGTAATAGGCTATTTTCACTAATATATTTCTATCAATCAGTTGGCACAGACTGCATCGCAAAATAAATACAGTACTGACAAATATACATGCATTCATCTATATCCCATTCATTCATTCATACATTTCTCAAACATTGTCAAATATGAATTTAGCATAATGCTATTAGATTCTTATACTTTTAGCAACTTTTTTGCTGTTATGTATTTCTTCAGATTCTATTTATTTGTTTGATTTTATGTATAAGCCAATCCATTTTTAGGTAACTCCTTACTTTCACTTTTTTACTGAGAACACCTGAATCAAAATAGGGGCCTTGAAATAAAAATGATCTCCTTTTTGTTCTTGCCTTTCAGCCAGAATGGAGAGTCTGGTGCACTATAGTAATCCATCCCACGGCCTCTCTGTGCTGGGGGTGCTCAATGAGCAGCGCCTGAGGGGGCAGCTCTGTGACACAGTCTTGGTTGTGGGGGATCAGAGGTACAAGGCCCACAGGAGTGTGCTCGCCGCTAGCAGTGAGTATTTCCAATCCCTTTTCACACGGAGGGAGTCTGAGCCTCACAAAGTGATACAGCTGGACTTCTGTGAGCCTGACGCCTTTGAGATAGTGCTGAATTACATATACTCAACCTCTATCTTCGTGGACAGAGGCAGCCTTGCAGCCATCCAGGAGCTGGGCTACAGTCTAGGAATCCCTTTTCTAACCAACATTATGTCAACAAGACCGCATGTGACCTACTGCGTCTCCAGAAAAAGGCTGTCCTTCTCAGAGGACGATAACGACAGCCAGCCGAGGAGTGTCATTGTGCGCCAGAGCCGAGGTGGTGATGCTCCCGGCCCCGGTCGCTACGGTTCAAATGATCAAGGAGAACAGACTCAAGCTTCAGGACACAGGAAACCAAACGAATCATCCAGGAACACTGCATCCAATCCCAGAAAATCAGCTGAAGCAACTGATGAGGGTTCTAATAGCAAGCCCATCAGTTCATATGCCTCCATCTTAAAGGGGAAGACATCATCACACACAGGGTCATCAGGAAGGCCACAGCTCACCTCCTCAGTCTCCTTCAGTGAATCTCCAACAGTCATGTTACAATCTGATCTAAGCACTAAAGAAGTGGAGGAGGAGCAGAGGCTCTACAGACCCAAACCACACTTTCAGGGCCAAGCAGGGGAGCCTAGCCAGACCATTGACAGGAGTGGCCCACTCATAAAAAGCCTGCTACGCAGGTCATTATCCATGGACAGTCCCGTCCCAGTCTTCTCCCCCACACTGGAGCTCAATAAACTGCAAGGCCGAGAACAGTCTGTTGTTAAGATGGTGGCAAATACAGAGGAAGGGACTCCGACAGAGCACAAACGCAGTGTGAAAGTATTTCCGCCGCTTCTTCTCAAGTCAAGGCACCACAGTAGGTATGATGATAAAGATGAAACTCCAGGAAAGGAGTTCCATGTGAAGACCGAGCCTAGCAGCCCACTGTCTGACCCCTCTGAGATCATTAGAATCACAGTGGGGGATTCTCTACCAGTTAACCTCAAAAACATTGAAATGGATTTTGAACAAGGCCCTACTAAGCCATTTTATAATCTCCCTGGAAAGAGAAAGGTGAGGCGAGACAATCGAAGGTACCCATTCAAAAAGTCTAAAGGGGTGAACGAACATGATTTCCTATGTGAAGATGATGAAGACGATATGTCAGCATCTGTACCTCACAACTCCAACATGGACGACAATGATGAAGGCTGGACTGATGAGCCCAGGAAGAGCAAGATGTTTAAATGCTGGAACTGTTTGAAAGTGTTCAGATCCAACGCTGGATTGCACCGCCATGTTAACATGTATCACAACCCAGATAAGCCGTATGCTTGTGACATCTGCCACAAACGCTTCCACACTAACTTCAAAGTATGGACCCACTGTCAAACCCAGCACGGAGTGGTACAAAACCCTGCTTCATCCTCCAGCTCGTTCCAGCTGGATGAGAAGTTTCAGAGGAAGCTGATTGATATTGTGCGGGACAGAGAAATAAAGAAAGCCTTGCTCATGAAGCTGAGGAGAAATAAGCAGGGTTCGCAGTCTCAGGTGTTTGCCAAAAAAGGTGGCCTGAGTTCAAGGTCAAATTTGATATGCCCTTACTGTGGGAAATCGTTTGTGTTTCTGTATCAGTTCAAGCAGCATTTGAAGACACACCCTGCGGAGAGAGACAACCAAGAGACTGAGAGAGAGAGCAGTCTCTACCAAAAGGACCAGCCCAGTCAGAGAGAGAACACAGACACAGGGATTTACTCCTGCAGGCTCTGCAATGAGAAGCTGTCCTCTCTCTTTGAGCTGGGAGACCACGAGAGGGGCTGTCGACACGCAACCGTGTGCCCTTACTGTGGCCTCCGATTCTCCAGCCCAGCGGTTAAAAAAGAGCACGAAGCACACTGCAAGTACAAGAAACTGACTTGCCTGGAGTGCATGAGGACCTTCAAGTCCTCCTTCAGCATATGGAGACACCAGGTGGAGGTTCACAACCACAACATTATGACTGTTAAGGAGCAGCTGCTGAGCCATCGGGAGGAGAACAATGGAGAAGTATCTGACCACGTCGGAAGGCCTCTCCATACCCAGGAGTCTGTGGGAGCGGGGAGCTCCAGAGAGGAAATCATCTACAGTGACTCCTCAGGTCCGCCTATGTTAGATTCAGAGGATTCTTTATCATTCGTGCCCGAGGACCTGAGTGCTAGCCAGCGTCACAACGACCATCACGGCGAGCTGACAGTGAAGGACGAGCCCATTGAGGAGGCCGTGAGCGAGAGGGAGGACATGACGTCTAGGGCCGCCGTCGAGCCCGAGGAGCCAGGTGTGTGGCCATGCGAAAAATGTGGCAAGCTCTTCGGTGGCCACAAAGACCTTGAGCGTCACCAGGAGCTGCTGTGTCACATCAAACCCTTCATCTGTCACATCTGCAACAAGGCCTTCAGGACCAACTTCCGCCTTTGGAGCCACTTCCAGTCCCACATGTCCACCTCCGATGAACCTGGAGCGAGAGAGGTCGATGACAGGCGCCCTTCGTCTCCCTCCCCCTCACCACCACCGGCGGTCACACAAGCAACTGGACGTCCTGCCCCACAAGTTTCTCCACCTAAACCAGTGGAGGCAGAGCCAGTGGTAGCTAAAGCTGTGATAGCGAAAGAGGAGGAGAAGCCTGGAAGCTCATCGTCAATGCCCAGGACCAAGAGGCCAGAGATGGACAGATCACACAGTAGCCCCCTACCCAAGATGGATAGTGTGGATAATCCCCTCACCCCTCAGGAATCAGAAACCCTTTTTTACCACGCCCCCACTCTCTCTGCCCTCACATTTAAGAGGCAGTACATGTGTAAGCTCTGCCACAGAACATTCAAGACTGCCTTTAGTCTTTGGAGCCATGAGAAGAGCCATAGTCACATTTAAGTGTGTCTCACTCAAACACCTGTACTCTGTTTTGAGCCTCTGAGATGATACTTTATGCTCACAGCATCGTAAGAGATCAAATATAACTCAGCCTACACAAGAAAGATTTTGAATGTATCTATTGCTGTTGATAGTGGCTTGGCTTCATGTTATGTTTTCCAGTGGCCATGTGTCATAGAGGTGTGAAAGTGAATGTGTGCAATGAACTGCTATTTGCCTCATCGGCTCCATACAATGGTTACTTTGCCTTTGACATTAGGTTAGTACTGTGTAAATCTATTTCAGATAACCCCCTTTGAGTTGTCTTCACCTATAAAACTATTTTGATTCAAAAATTGCTGTACTGTACAATTCAAGATCAGTTACGTGCTTTTGGTTAAGTTGTGAATTTGTGTTGATTGATGCGTGAAGATGACATTATGAAGATGATATTAGTGGCCTCGAGCATCATGTTTATTGATATGCACTTTGCAATTCTGTTCAATATTTACATTGCATATAATGGTCAAATTACATTGATTTAATTGTTGTTATATGAATCTTTATTTTGGATCCTCTGCATTCCATTAACATTTCAGTTGTAATCTGTTTTGTACCATAAAATTATGGTTTTAATATTGTCTATTCGTGTTAATTCTTCTTCATTCAGATTTTGTCATTGCCTTAGTGATATTTCATGAAGATTATACACGAAAACAAGACCAAAGAGCAGTTAGATTAGCAGGGGAATAAGAACTGGGAACGCATGCAGTATTTCAACTGACACTATTTTGTAGATTCTGAGTAAAATAAATAATGTATCTTATTTTCTTCTTTAATATTAGATATCATTAAATTACAGATTATCATTAGTGGATTATTGTGTAAAGAATATGGAAAATATGTACTTTATTGGGAAAGGAGTTTTGTTTACCTTCTGCCCACTGGGTGTGGTGTATGGTAGATTTTGTTGTTGTTTTTTATGATTCATTTGGTACACAAATACAACAGCACACAAGCAACTTGTATAGTAGATACATAGACAGGAGTGAATTTGAATGGGCAAGAACATGGGTATATTGCTCTCTGTCGGCTCAATACCAGTATGATTAAGTCTGAAATAGTTTGTATGAGGTTGATAATTACACAAGTAATCGTATGAATTGATAGCATAGACTTCCTGAGACAATGAAGCACAGTAAGAGTTGTTGCAGATAAAAAATATTTAACTTAGATATTTAAAATGATTTACAACCAAGAGCCAATAAATGTACACATATACAGTATATACAGTACCAGTAAAAAGTTTGGACACACCTACTAAGGGTTTTTCTTTATTTTGACTATTTTCTACATTGTAGAATAATAGTGAAGACATCAAAACTATGAAATAACTCATATGGAATCATGTAGTAACCAAAAAAAGTGTTAAACAAATCAAAATCTATTTTCTATTTGAGATTCTTCAAAGTAGCCACCCTTTGCCTTGATGACAGCTTTGCACACTCTTGGCATTCTCTCAACCAGCTTCACCTGGAATGGATTTCCAACAGTCCTGAAGGAGTTCCCATTTATGCTGAGCACTTGTTGGCTGCTTTTCCTTTACTCTGCCGTCCGACTCATCCCAAACCATCTCAATTGGGTTGAGGTTGGGGGATTGTGGAGGCCAGGTCATCTGATGCAGCACTCCATCACTCTCCTTCTTGGTAAAATAGCCCTTACACAGCCTGGAGGTGTGTTGGGTCATTGTCCTGTTGAAAAACAAAAGATAGTCTCACAAGCGCAAACCACCTCCTCCATGCTTTACGGTGGGAACTACAAAGACACGGCGGTTGGAACCAAAAATCTCAAATTTGGACTCATCAGACCAAAGGACAGATTTCCACCGGTCTAATGTCCATTGCTCGTGTTTCTTGGCCCAAGCAACTCTGGGTCATCCTTTCCTATGGCGGTCCTCATGAGAGCCAGTTTCATCATAGCGCTGGATGGTTTTTGCGACTGCACTTGAAGAAACTTTCAAAGTTCTTGACATTTTCCGGATTGACTGACCTTCATGTCTTAAAGGAATGATGGACTGTCGTTTCTCTTTGCTTATTTGAGCTGTTCTTGCCATAATATGGACTTGGTCTTTTAACAAATAGGGCTATCTTCTGTATACCCCCCTACCTTGTCACAACACAACTGATTGGCTCAAACACATTAAGAAGGAAATAAATTCCACAAATTAACTTTTAACAAGGCACACCAGTTAATTGAAATGCATCAAAATATATTTAGATTTTTTTGGTTACTACATGAGTCCATATGAGTTATTTCATAGTTTTGATGTCTTCACTATTATTATACAATGTAAAAAATAGTCAAAATAAAGAAAAACCCTTGAATGAGTAGGTGTGTCCAAACTTTTGACTGCTACTGTATATTTAATAATAAATAAGTGAAAGCAAGATTGTTGCTCTTGGGGAAAAAGTGAGATTTGTAAAATAATTCCCTGTCCTATAACAGAGTCAGTATTTAAATGGTATATTTTGGTTGTTTAAGTGTGTACCTTTTGCTGTTACACCTGGAAAAGGGGTTTTAAAATAAGATTAATTGTTTTTAAACAATGATTTGTTCGTTTCATGATAACTGTGACCTCTATGTACATTTATTGAGGAGACCACAGTAACCACAGATATTGATATTCAGATTTTAAAAATGTAACTTTTTTTATGTTTAAATTCGGTGGTTAGGTTCAAACAAAGTATGTATTTATATTTGTGCTCTGAATTTTATGCAAGATCATTAAAAAAAGAAATTGAGTGCAAATAAATGTAATATAATTTTGTGTATATGGCAGTGTTTGTATAATTGTATACCTATAATTTGTTTGTTTATGAAAATGCATACTTTTAGTATTACTGTGCTATTCCTGCAATAATTAATATTTGTATGGTTGCTTTACATGAACTGCAGCAGTTTAGTTTTTTTCTACAGTTCTTGTGCTTGAATTCTTTCTGTAATAAAGAGATGATAATGCAGTAGCTGCCTTGGTATTGAGTGTGTATATTGTTTGGATTGCACTTATAAGAAACTAACCCTTGAATTAGGGCTGGGAATTACCAGGGACCTCACAATACGATATTATCACGATACTTAGGTGCCGATACGATATATATTGCGATTCTCATGATTCTATATGTATTGCGATTCGATACTGTGATTTTATTGCGATTAGATGTTCCAAATATATTGCTCACCATATGTCTGCTGCAGAGGGACAAGAGAGAGCCATGAGAAAACAAGTTTTTATTAGGCATTGAAATAAGTGCTGAAAACAAATTGGCTCCTTATTTAAAAAGAAGACGGAGAAGGAAAAATACTGGAGTTTTGGTGCAGGTACAGCCAACTAGTGCAAAAAATATATTGTTCTATTGTCAAAACTATACGATATATCGTCAAAAAATAATACCCCCCCATCAGTACCTTGAATCATGATTGTTTTCAGGAGAAGTTGGTATGTGTTTAAATGAGTAATGTCTCTACTTGGCTTTGGTTTCCACTATAGAACGGTTGAAACTGCAATCATGTTTGCACTAGTTGCTCCATTATTAAGGCATGACCAAAGCTGTTACAGATAACAATGCAAAAGAGCTGAACATTCACTAATGTGACCAAGAGAAATGGTGCCAACGTTATTCCTTGGACAGATGGTCACTGCCATGGGTCACAGAGCTGTTTTTCAAACTATTTAGCCACTTGGACAGTGGTGACAAATTTTTGGCTGTGAACCAGGAAGTGAATTTGCTGTCTGCTCTGTGGCCCTTGAGGATATAGAGACTGGAAATCCTTTGCTCTCCATTATTGTTCAAGGTCATCCTGTGAATGAAAAATACATGATTGGAGAGGAAACCTTTGCAACTTAGATGAGGAAAAACATCCACACAGCTGAATGACAAATAATGCTTTTGAATAAAGCATCTGGCCTCTCAACCTAAAAAATGCCCTGACTGTTTAGTTCCTAATTCTTTATTTGAAGATTTCCTCAACATCTTTACAACTTGACCTGTCTGATGCCACATGCTTGGTATGCAGTATAGCACAGAGTTTCTAAACCCAGAGGCGCAAAATGGCAAGACTTCCCAGAACGCTTGTGAAACAGACCTAACAGACCAGGTTTATATTGAAGGAGTGCCTATGATTTGAAGGCCTGCACATGTGCAGTTCGGCACGAGATGACCGTTATACCCGACGACGTGTTTCTGCGCATGAGCTTAACTAGCTAACATCGCCATGACATCATCTATAAGTGTGATCGGGGATTTCTATTATCAGTGGCGACCCGTCATTCAGGGCAGGTGGGGCTGTTTTGCATGTTATTTTGTCATTAATACGTGTCACATATCAGTTTGCAAACAATGTAAAACAAAATAAAAATAATAATTGAGTTAATAAAGCCGCATACAAACATGGTCTCTTTTTTGCTTTCTTGAGTAAGGCAGCTCCAAAATACAGGTGTTTCAGCCTAGCTCAGTGCTTTCTGTGGTGGTGGGGCAGCCAGCAGAAAATAAGAAGCGTAGGGGTTGGTAATGTTCTCTAGTTGCGCCATGATTAGCTCAGTGTTCTGTCACTCATAGGGACGCTACGTGATCGCAAAATCTATGGGGAGAGCTCAAAAATTCAAGCCCCTTCGGTGCTGCCATAGAGTTACATTAGAAGTGCCCATCCAAGAAGGCTCAAGGTCATTGGCCACAGATAAAATGACGTCAAATCACCTTATATCTACAGTAGCTTTGATTGGACTGATCATGTCAACATCATACATTTACATTTTAGTCATTTAGCAGACGCTCTTATCCAGAGCGACTTACAGTTAGTGAATACATATATTATTTTTTTTATACTGGCCCCCCATGGGAATCGAACCCACAACCCTGGCGTTGCAAACGCCATGCTCTATCAACTGAGCTACATCCCTGCCGGCCATTCCCTCCCCTACCCTGGACGACGCTGGGCCAATTGTGCGCCGCCCATGAGTCTCC